ACACCTAGAAATGCACGTCTTTGCTTAAAATACTTAAATACTTGAATAATTTACACTAAAATGACGGTTTGTTTGTTCAAAAACCTCTTCACAAGGTTATTAAATGTTTAATATAATGTTCATTCCAAATGCTATCAGTTCAGTTCAAAATCCATCAAAGTCTTCATCCTCAGTGTCACTGTTAAACAGGTCAATTAATCGTGCATCGAGGACAGGATCTAGAGTTGTTGTACTTTGTACATCATCGCTGATTTCAGAAGCGTCACTCCCATCATCCTCACTGGCACCGGGAGCATGTGTAATTCCTGCTTTTCTGAAGCCATTCGTGATTGTAGTGACTTTCACTGCTTTCCACGCATGAATTACTCAATTGCAGACTTCCGCTTGTGGCCCTTCTCATCTTTCCAGTTTCGGTAAAGGTGTGAATTCCTTCAGACATCCACTTCTCCCACTCCTCACAAGCATGGTTCTTGAATTACCAATTAACAGAAATGTCTTATGGCTGCAATTTCTTGGTAAGGCCTCCAGGAATCACTGCAGTAGTTCTTTTGTGTTCAGTTTTGAAAGTGTTGCGAACATTTTCGTCAATATGTGCGCTGAAACTGTCGAAGACGAGCAGAGAGGTTCTGTCAAAGAAGGACACGGGTCTTGGATGCCAAACTTTCTCACCCCACACAGCCATTCCATCTCTATCCATCCATCCTTTGCTGTGGCAGTGGACAACCACACCATTGGGGACGTTTTCTTTCGGCATTGTTTTTCTCTCAAAGATGACCATTGGCTTGAGCTTTTTCCTGGACTCTGAGCATGCAAGGACAACAGTGAAGCCTGTTTTCTCGTGACCAGTGGTTGATACAGGAACACTTTCAGCTCCAGTTGTGTCAACTGTTCTGGAATATGGAGCATCAAATGACATAGGCACTTCGTCCATGTTGAAAACACAATCCGCTTGTATGGCGAGTTCCTCCTTTCATCGAGAAACAAACTGATGAAAGTTTGTAACCTTCTCTTCCCAGCTTTCCGGCAGCTTCTGACCCACGGTTGGTTTTGAACGCACAGATGGGCGATTTCAGTGCATAAATCTGCTACACCAGCTCAGTCCTCCTACAAAGTCAGCGACATTCATCTGCCTTGCCAGTTCTTTGGCCTCTAGACGGATCATGACAGTGGTGACAGCTTGGCTGTTTTCTCTTTGACTAATGATCCACTCTTCCAATGTTCTTTCCAATGCAGGAAATTTGGCGATGCCAGTACGGCAGGTGCGTTGGCATTTAGGCAGCTTTGTCATGACAACTTTTTTCTTTTGCCAGTAGTGGATCATGGATTCGTCGATTTCAAATTCTCTTGCTGCTGCTCGGTTTCCAATTTCATCTGCATGAGCAACTTTGAGCTTACACTCAAAAGTGAAACTCTGAGGTGCGTGTCTAACACCGGGCATTTTGACTCAAAATTACTCATGGCTACACTTATTGTAAATGATTGAATTGTGTATTTCTCATTCAGTCAATGACCTTTTTATAATGTTTTGAATGAAATAAAAACTTCATCCATTGTTTTTGTTAACAAAATATCCTTTAGCAAGTAATTAGTAAGTTTTCATGCCCATTGTTTTTGATCTTCCATTTAATGATACCACTTGTAAAAATCCGTTCCAAGAAAAATCAATATCTCAGGATCTACTCTGACTCTAAGAAATCGCTTGAAACAGGAAAATACTCTCTACCTCAAGGGAGTGTTTGCTAGGAATATTTTACTGATGCACCGAGTATTCTGGTGTTTTAAAATGTTGTCTGTGAATGTTTGTTTACACGCATGCCGACAATCACCTTTTATGCCATGAAATGAACAAGTCAGCATCATTTTTTCTGTGCGAATTACTTTGAAGCCTGCTATTTCACATTGTTATTCTTTTATTTTCTGAGTTTATCATTCCAGTTAGTGAATAATATTTTTATTTTCAACTAAACAAAGAAACAAGCTATGAAATTAGCAAGGTAAGAAAGTAATAGCACACTTGTGATAAAAAATTTTGTTTGCCAACGACACTCGTTGATATGTTTTCAATTTGCATCGGTTTTCATCGAGAGCATTTAAGTCTACAGGCGATGAAAGCGGGATAAATGAGGCAATACACACTTTTTAGGACCAGTTTCTTTAAAGACTTATATTTTTTCCCTGCTTACAGTTTTAATACTATACTGGAAGATTTAAAAATTATCACATTACCCGCACCTTCCTATAACCCGCACCAACAAATGTTTGCGTTGAAATTAACAGTTAACAACAACTCGCTCTCTAATAATATTGTATGGACAAAAAATAACAAGACAAATCTGGCAGTAAATGGGACCATGGACACTAGGTGCTCCCTGGGATAGCAATGAGAGTGAGTGATAGCGACACACCCTGGACAGGTAATTGGGTGGTTAGCGGACACACCCGGCAAACAAAGTGGGGCGGTTAGCAGACACAAACCCAAAGCAGAAACTTGGGCGGTTGGCAGACACCCAGTGAATGAATTGGGGTGATAGCGCCGTGACCCAGAGAACGAAGCCCCTAAACCTAGCTGCTTAGGTAGGTAAGAATAAGGTGGGGTAAGGGACCCACCCAGCCTGACTCAGGCAGTAGCTAAGTGGAAGGTGTGCACCCAGGCCAGTAGTCCAAATTTATTATGGGGGGTAGAGGAGGGAAAGGAAACACTGTACACTAGTAGTTGGGTCACTAGCGGACACACCCTGCAAACAAAGTGGGGCAGTTAGCGGACTCAAACCCCAAAGCATAAACACAACGTGGGGTGGTTAGCGAACACAAACCCCAAAGCAGAAACTTGGGTGGTTGGCGGACACACCCACTAAATGAATTAGGGTGATAGCGCAGTGACCCAGAGTATAAAGCCCCCCAACCTAGCTGCTTAGGTAGGTAAGAATAAGGTGGGGTAAGGGACCCACCCAGCCTGACGCAGGCGATAGCTAAGTGGAAGGTGTGTACCCAAATTATGCCCCAAATACTGCCAGGTACATAGTGACAAATATTAGTGCAACTTTAACAAGGTCTACATTGTCCTGTGCTTATATCCCAAATTTGTAGTGGAGTACTATGGGTGGCGGCTAGCTGGGCAGGAACTGCTTGGAGTATTGAAGCAGGTGTCCTGATGTAGTGGGTGTAGCAATTGCTGGACCAACGGCTGAGGGTTTGGATAAGCAAAGGGGCAAGCCGGCCTCTGCAGCAGTAGTTGCAGCTGCAATAAGGAAACTGGGATCGGATGCATAGGACTCTGTTGCGAAACCCAAGCATTGAAGCTGGAGGCGCAGAATTGAGGTTACTTTGTCCCTGGTGAGAAATTTTCCAGTTGAGAAGAAATAAAGGGGGGTGAAATTGCCTGGAAGCTGGTGAGCCAGGTAATGGCGCATTGCCCGTACTGCACAGACTGAAAAGCCAGAAGGAGTGAGTGTAATGGAACAGCCCATCCGGAAGGGATCAGTTTTGGAGGATTTCAGTTGCAATGATAAGGAGCCTGCGGAGATAAAACTGATGTCTGAGCGGGACAGGTGTACCAGCGGGTTGAAGTGAACTGAAGATGGTGAGGTGAGCTCGCTCGAACGCAAGAAGGCAAAGAAGGCCAGAGTAAAGGCTGATTAGAGCATGAGTTTGTCCTGTGATGCGATCTGAGGGTCATCTGCCAAAGCTCCGTTTAGCTGGCGTATGACTGACATGGTGATAGGTAGACGGCGGCAAGAGGAGAGTCCAATTGTCCGCTTGATGCCTCGTAGAAGTAAACGAAGTAGGGGGGCATCTGCAAACGGGTCTGCAAGGCTGTTTTCGATGTGGGCAAACAGGATACCAGCTAGATACAGCTTAATGGTTGGGAAGCTGACTTGATAAGAGAGCCAAGAGGCAAAATAACGTAGTTGTAACTCTGATGCAGGGAAGGGGTTCCATTGCCTTGAACAACTAAAGGTAGTATACCCGCGAATTCCAGTGCAGTAGGTGCGACGTGTGGAAGGTGCAATGGCTTGAGACTGCAGAAAGGCTAGGTGACCAGCCAGAGGGTCGGCGCTGAGGGGGGCATAGTCGTCGGCTCCAAATCTGCCTGCGGGGTGAGTTGGCGGAACTGGAGCGTCTGAAAACGGGACAAAGCATCAGCAATTGAATTGTCTGTACCTCAAATGTGAGAGACAAGAATGGAGAATTGGTGGGATAGAGTGCAAAAGAAGATTGAACGAACAAGGTGCATAAGGAGGGGGTCACAGGAAGTACCCTTTGCCCAAATGTCCACAACTGATTGGTTATCACAGTGGAATAGCAGTTTCTTGTCCCTCCAAAGTGGACCCCACAGGAAGCAGGCAAGAGCTATGGGGTAGAGCTCCTTCTACTGGATGGAGCGATCAGACAGGTTGGAGGGCCAGGAACCATTCAGCCAATGACCTTGAAAGTAGATGCCAAAACCAAGACCTCCAGATGCATCAGTGAAGAGCGCGAGATCAGGAGATCTTGACCAAAAGGGGTCAGGAATAATAGCTTGGCCGTTCCAGACAAAGATACTTCAGCCACCAAGCAACATCCCTGCAAACTTTAGCATTGAGGGATATATGATGGTGGGGTAGGCGAGCAGTGGTACCCAGGTCAATCAAGCGCCACAGGAATATGCGACCAGCTGGGATGATTCAACAGGCGAAGTTAAGTTTACCAATGAGGGAGAGAAGTTCTCTTTTAATGCACTTTTTTCGAGAAGACCAGGTATGAAGTTCAGTCACAAGCTCTGACAGTTTATCAGGAGGTAAGGAGCATTCCATGAGATTGGAATCAATCAATATGCCAAGAAACACCAGACGAGAGGTTGGACCCTCCAGCTTGTTGGGGGGCCAAGGGGATACCCAGGCGGTCAGCGGTTTTAACTATGATGTCGACTTGAGATGGGCATAGTGGTGACAATGGAGGACCTACGGTAAAGTAATCATCAAGGTAGTGCATGAGAGTGGAGATAGCGTAATTGTGCTTAAGTATCCACTCAAAGGCATCGGCTAAACAGTTAAATAGGAACGGTGAGGAATGGAGCCCAAAGGGTAGGCGGAGATCCACATAGAATTTGCCTTGCCAGTGCATGCCAAGGAGGTCCCAGTCACTGGGGGATACAGGACAGAGACGAAAGGTGTGCTTAAGGTTGAGCTTAGCCATGAGAGCACCAGCGCCAAATTAGGATACTAAGGCTAGGGCTTGATCGAAGGTAGCGTAGTGTAAGGTGTAATCCTCTTTAGAGATAAAATCATTGATGGACGAACCTTGAGGCGAAGAGAGATCCACGATAATATGCCAGGAGCCATCCTTTTTGGGAACAAGCCTAGAGGTGAGCACTGAAGGGTTGGAAAGGGAGGAGACGAGAAGGGGCCTGCTGTGTGGCCTCTACTAACCTCTTTCATGAGCACCTCAGTGACTGCATTGGGGTGAAGGAGAGTAGATTTTAAATTCGGGGTGATTCTGTGGTAGCATGGACTCTGATAGCGACAGCCAAACCGGAGTTCATGGACCAGATCTGAAGCAAATTTGCCATTTTCTAAACGAGCGGCAATCTGGGTACGACTTGCGACCGCAAAGCCGCTAGGGATTGTTTGGAGGGACAAGGAAGTAAACAAAATATAGCGGAAAGCAGAAAAATTCCTCGCGAAACTGTAGAACAATACAGTGTTGTGCAATTGAAAAGATGGTTGCTGTGCAGAGGAGCTAAGACAACGGGAAATAAGAAAGCAGTAGTGACAAGGTACGTTTGCTTCTAAAATCAGAGTGAAATTATTCTTGTCTTGTTTATTTAATGTTTTTTGTTTTGTTGGTAGGGTTCAAGATTATGTTAAACATGGATTAGATGTTAAATATCTCCATGATCCAGACGGTGGACTTCACCTTTTGCGAAAGAAAGCTCAACTTGGCGTCCTTGAGAAGGAAGAACCACAACTCAGCCAGTCTTTTCCAAAAGAAGGTTACAAAACCGATCTAAAGGATCACCCTAAAGTATCTTTTGGAACCGTATGGTGCTTTATGATCGAAGGAGTTGAAGGTAAAAAGCAACTATTGACTGCAAAGCCCCTTGTCAAGGGATTTAAC